GCCCTGCTGCTGTAGTTGGGAGGTGAGGAGATCTGCCTCTGTTCGTGAGGCGCTGCGGGCAAGCAGGCGGCTGCTCATGCGCCGTTGGTTTGAGGAAGTAGAAGCTGCCGAGTCAGTCGGCACGTCGGGGCCGGGATCGGGATCGGGTCCTCCTGGAAGAGATCATTCTCAGAGAAGTCCGAACTGGACATGTTGAGGATATCTTAGAGTGCTATACTGCAGGTTTCGTTTGCGACTACCGTTTGTGTCGAGTCACCTGAAATGACAACTGTCAGAGGGGGAAAGAGCAGATTAAAAAGGTTTGACAGAGCGCTATGATAGGCTCTTGGAAATAGAGCGAAGTGATTGGTTAGACTGAAGAGTGACGCCCCCTGTCACTTAGGCTATTGAGAGGAGAGAGAGTAATAACGTATGTGAATGAGAAAGACCGTCTTCCTGGTTGAACTTGCGCTAAGCTTCATAACTGGCTTGCGATGCTCTCATGAGCCTGAACTTAACCTCAGATCCTCGGGTATAGCTCTGTAGCTCTTTGGCTCTGGAACTGCTTGCCTGAGAATCTGAAGTTAGCACAATCAGCGACATCTTTTAAATCACTTCTTAAAACACATCTCTTTATCAAAGACTTTCATTAATAATGCCACTACTCAATTTTACTCCGCATCCATGTTTTATTAGATTTTTTCCATTTTCATTATTGTTGTAACATTGTATAGTTTACCGGGTGGGGTTGGGATGGCTGACCTCATGTTCTGTTGCTGCCTGAACAGCTTGTTTTAATCCATGTAAAGCACTTTGTAACTTTGTTTTGAAAAGTGCTGTATACATAAAGTTGTTATTATTCTTATAACGGTAGGCAAACCAATTTCATCTTTCTTGTCTTTATATTTATGTTGTAATTATACAAATGTCAAAGAAACATTATAATAATCATTTGTTTTTAGTGATCAAAACGCCTGGACAGACGTGATCACTGAGCGATCCACTGCAATGTGAAACCACAAAGCCCCTCCTTTATGAAAATCATAGCGAAGCACTACAGGAAAAATATGCGTCCCCACAGGACCCTCTGAAGGTCAAGCTCTTCCCATACATTTCAGCTCTGACAGTCACCATAAACATGATGGAGAGCACATCATTGACAGAGGTGCACACAGACATCTGAACATTCTTTTGAATATCTTACATATAAACTGTATGTTTGCCTCTTTCACTTTGCTACATCATTGCACATCTGTTAGATATCTATTTAAATATGATTATAATTAAAGCACCTGATCAAGATTATTGGCTGAGTCTTAATAATCGAAGTTAGTTCTGCTCCATTATTTGACAGCTAGGCCTATCATTACTCATGAACAGGAATTTCAGCAATTTGTTATTATTGTATTTTGATGGTAGTGCTGAAGACACATGTATTTATTAGTTCCTTACAAACATAGTGTCCTCTTAGTTACTACAAAGAGCAAACATTGTGACAAAAAAAAATGTACAAACATAAACTCCAACAGCTTCTTTTTTTTTGCTGGAAAGAAAAACATATCCACGAGCATTTTGTCGGGATGGGACGGTGCATGATTGATTGGTGTTTTTTGAGCTACCGTGAAGAGTAAATGAGTATTTTTCTGCTTCCGTCTTATTCTCAGGCGGATTCATCCAAGCATGACTCCCCACATGTACAGAACACTATTCTTAAAGAGCAACTTCCAGGTTAAAGACACATGTGAATAAATGAGTAGGAAAATGATGTATACACTAGATTTTCAAAAACATATACATAAATATTAGGGCCGGGACTTTAACGCGTTAATTAAGATTAATTAATTACACAAACATTAACGCGTTAAAAAAATTAACGCATTTTAATCGCACTTATTTTTGCCCTGCGGAACGTTTCTCACTGGATGAGTTTCAGGCGTACCGATTATACTGGAGCACCAACTAACGTTCATGACTTCAGACAACAACAAACCACAGTGAACAATAGTCAAACATGAACGAAGAAGCTGATGAGACCGCTTTGGTTGGCCACGTGGATGGGACATTTTGTTTAAAAAAATGGAAGCGTCGATAAGAGCACGGTTTTATGCAAAAAGGAATTTGCATATCACCGCAGAACATCAAGCCTCAAGTATCACCTCAATGCAAAACATATAGCAGCTAGCGTGGAAGCTAGCGTGGACGTTAGCCCGACTCCGAGTACAAGGACTCAAAATGCAAAATTGGGTGGGGGGGGTGCTACTGGATCGCCGGAGCTGTTAGATTAAAGTGCACTGCCTTGCGGCCTGTAGCACCGTCCTTGTTGGAGCATATGTGTGGGCTGGACCAGTACCAGGAAAGGAGTGAGCAGAGAGTAGAGTAGTTGTCGATTCTTGTTCTGTTTTCTGTGAATATCTGCCTCACCCTCCCAGACTTTTGAGTTGCGCGCGCTACTAAAGAGATGTGTTACCATGGAAACCAAACAATGGTGTAGCTGTATTAAACGGCAATGAGAGGGCAATGAAATCGGGAGTCTCCCGCGAAAATCGGGAGGGTTGACAAGTATGACCCACACCCAACCCACACTCAACCAGATAACTGGTTTCAGGGCCAGGATAACTAAGTCCACGTTTGAAAAAATAACCAGCTCACTGGATTGCACTCGACTGTAGACCACTTGGAGTGGTAGAAGATAAAGGGCTGCAAAAGGTACTACAGATTGCATCGTCTGACACAACATATGAGCTGCCATGCAGAAAGACAGTGACAAAAAGAATCCAGCAGCTTTATGACAATGAAAAGGAAGATAAAGAGAATTTATTGGAGAAAGCCGAATGTGTTGCCCTGACTGGGGATCATTGGACCTCGGTAAGCAATTCAAATTACCTCTGTGTGACGGCACACTTTATTGACATCTTCTCACTGTTCTCAGGTCAAATATTTATATGTGATTAAAAATGCGATTAATTTCGATTAATTAATTACAAAACCTCTAATTAATTAGATTAATTTTTTTAATCGAGTCCCGGCCCTAATTAAAACGCTTATGTCCCACTCGCTGGTCATCTCGCCATGATGCGCTTGTTGCGTTAAGGCACAGATATGGAGACATTATA